AACAAGCGATAGGACGAGAGGAAATGGCCTCAAGTTGCGCCAGGGGAGGTTTAGATTGGACATGAGGAAAAATGTCTTTACTGAAAGAGTGGTGAAACATTGGACCAGGCTGCCCAGGGAAGTGGTTGAGTCCCCATCCCTGGAAGTATTTAAAAGACGAGTAGATGAGGCGCTTTGGGACATGGTTTAGTGGGTGGTGGTGTTGGGTCGATGGTTGGACTCAATGATCTTAGAGGTCTTTTCCAACCTTAATGATTCTATGATTCTGTGATTCTATGATGAAATTGCCATGAAGTCATTTTCCCAAGAAGTCCCTAATGCCATGAGTGAGGGCTCACACTCATGGGACTCTCATGTCATTATGGACTTGTACATATTTTGGCAGAGCAACATGGGAACTGTTAAAGCCCATGGGATAAAAGGGGACAAATGCCGGCAGTGGGTCCCATCTGCTCAAATCAAAGCATCACCTCCCACCCCCCTGCTTCATGCTCTTGTTTCTATTATTACCCTTACAATGACATTGTGGCCCTAGTGCAAACACAGATTGTTTTGGAGGAAGGGGTTAATTTTGTATATCCTGGCTTTTGTTAACGTAGGAAATCTAACCCTTAAGAAAGTCATTCAGGTCAGAGTGAGCTCCTAAAAGCCACTTCAGCCCTGTTTTGTATTTTCCTTTCTTTCATTCTTATTGCAGGTTTATTTAAGAAAAGAAAACAAAAATAGAGTAAAGCAAGGAAATAGCTAGTCCAGGATTGTAAGTGATTAAGTACACATTGACACGTGATGAATTTTTTTCTTCCTGATTTGCACTGGATGTAAACAAGACCAGATTCAAAAGTCTCATAATTACATAAGTCCATCGAAGAGCAATTATCATTGTTGTGGAGGTAAATTACCTTTGCGCAAAGGCCTCAGCTGGATGTCTTCCCTGCACTGTCTCAGAGCAGCCGAGGTATCTGGCCCACGTGTCTGGCCCATATTTAATATTTGTATAATGTTGGCTAACATCATGACTGGAAAGGTGATTGTCATTGAGAGCACATTCTCACTTAGCTGTGCATGTGTCAGACATGGCAATTTCTTTAAACTTGGAAAAAATTGAAGTTGCCAAACTGGGGAAAAAAATCTCAGTCTTTTAGCTTTGTTTTTTGTGTGGGACACTGAGAAGAGTTTAGGACAACAAGAGAAAAGACTGTCAGTGGCATAGGGATGCCTGCGTCTGTGAGCCAGGGCCGGCTGTTCCCACTAACAAGGCACTCGTGGCACAGCACCATTAAAAATACTGCTTTCCCTTAAAGCATTCAAGTGAAGTCTCCCAACCCATGCTGCTGCTCCTGGAACACACAAGGCTTTGGACTGGTTGGAGGAGCTCAACATCCCGATCAAGTCCCCTGGGGGAAGGACATTCCCAGCTCCTAACTCCACAGGGCTTCCCCGCTTAGGGTGAGCAGAGTCCTTGCTTCTCCTGTGCTCCTGCCCGGTGGCGCCTTAAATCACTCCCGCATCACACTCCAAAGGAGTAAAGTGAAGTGATTCCTGGGTATAAACTTACAGAAAGGTCAACATCTGAGGTCCGTATCAAAAGGGTGAAATTTTCTCTAGGAAAAGGTGATGAATAACGCCCTGTCTTGTGGCCACCTGCTATACTGGTTTCTGCTGCAAAAATCTGGCAAGCAATTGATCATTGATAATTCTTGCTGTTCAGCTCCTTAGAAAAATCTGAGTAGGTTGGTGTTTGACAGATGACGTGCAAGGTCACCAGAGCTTGGCCATGGCATGGTGTCACAGTGATATCATGTCTCGCGAGGAGTTGGCTTGGAGCGCATCAGAGGAGGACAGGTGGGCCTGCTGCCGCCAGTGGCATGGCCCGTGCTCCCTGCCTGCCTCCCATGCGCTCGCGGTGTGGAGGGACGTGTGTCACCCACCCAACTGCTGGGCCCTGTGATTCACACCCAGAGATCCACTATGGACAGCTGCGGGGTCCCAGTAACAGAGTGGCTGACGGTGTGGTCAAGCAGAGTCATTTCCCAGCACTGAATTGTATGAGCGTTTCTCTCGCAATCTGTTTCCAACCCACTGTTAAAAGAACAACAAATAAATTGAACGAAAAGTGCAATCCCGTGTTTATTTTTAAGGAACGTGTTGAAAAAACAGATTCGCTTTGAGGCTGCAGTTCTGGCAAAAACCCCACTGCCCAGCAGAGCAGAGACAATCCTGCAATAAGCGGGTGAGCCGGAGCTGGTATCCGCCTGCCTGCGCCCTTCTCCATGTCCCCTCCTCCCAGCCACCCATGAGAGCCTGGAAAGCCCTGGAGCTCTCGGCCAGATACAGAGCCCGGCTGGGTTTAGAAGAAGGTCTGAAGTGATTAAAGACTGGGGACATTGATGGGGGAGAAGCTGGAAAATTTGAGGACTGGCATCAGGTTGGAAGCCCGTGGGGCGGGTGGGGCGGGAGGGTGGGAGAGGAGCCCTGGGGCGAAGGGTGGATGGAGAGGTCTCCTCCGAAAGGAGCAGCTGAAGAAGGAAAACCAGAAAGCTGCTGAGAGGGGCGGAAGGAGCAGAGTGCAGCTGGGGCCGGCAGCACGGGGGGTGAAGGGGAATTGCTGGAAAAGTTTTTTTTTGCGGGGGAGGCAGCGCGGGGGGGCAGGGGAAGTGGAAGCAGTGCTGACTGGAAGCCCTGAGTAAGAAACACCCGAGTGTCTTGGTGGGAGCTGGTCGCCCACGGAGAAAAGAAAACTTTTGGGAAGCGCTGATGCACTAGCAAGGGGAGAAAAAAAGAGAGCTCTCACTACTCCACTGCCGGTTACTGGGCAGCCCCAATTTCTGGGGGTGTTCGCCGTGTGGAAAACGAACTTTGCATGGGCTGCAGTCTACTACATTTTTTTCCTTACACATAAAACATGATGGGAACGGCTCTCAAATATGTGTTTACATTATAAATATATATACAAATAAATGTGTACACATATATATTTATGTGTCAATATGACTATACATGTATTTATGTCTAGGCATGAACACAAATACATGTATGTGTATGCTCATCTCTTTATACTTATATTTTAGGAGAATACGCATGCCCGCACCCGTGGCTCCACATCCTCCCGCACTGCTGCTCCAGCAGCTTCCTGCCCCCCAGCAGCGCTCCGATTTCTGGGGGAAATGG